GAAATTGTATTTCTTAAGGCAAAATAACAAGGTGCTTTGGATTCTTAAATATTGAAGCATGAAACACTGATCCAAAGAAGTCCCCAAATTCCATCTACCAATTTTAATAGTTCAAATATAGCAATGTTTACATAAAATTTAATTTGCCAAAAACTTTAAATGTAATTATAGTGAAAGAAGGTGAAATGTATGGAATAATCAAGCTATTCCAAGAGAACACATGAATGGGTGTAATGTCTGGAAAAAGATAGAGGGATAAACCAATAATATACCTAGATTTTTATTCTCTTAAACCTTTATTTACATGTGGTCCTAACTCAGCGTTTTGAAAATTCTCCTATTCTGTTGATATATACAGCTGTAGCAACTACTCCATTTTCTCTAATTATCAATAAACAAGGTTTAAGTATTCATTTTATGTTTTCTTGGTAACCACCCCTTTTATAACTCAATTGTAATGAAATAGACACTTAGGAACCTTAATATCAAAATTTCACTATGGTCATATGTATGTGTTAAATTGGTATAAATAAATTTCGTGGTTCTGTGATGAGTCTTTCGCTTAGGTGAAAATGTCCTTTGATTCATACCAATAATAAAATCTGTAAGGAATTTGGGATTCAAATCACTTATCAGAAATGTGTATACTTCAGGACATTTGCATATGTCTAAATGGGAGATAAATGGCTAAATGGGAGATAAATAGAAATATAATAGAAATAGAAATATTAAAAAACAAAAATATAATGTAAATATCTGAGTTTTACTCAGTAATAACGTGTAATTATTATTCAAGTACAGTTTTTAGGGGCACCTGGTGGCTCAGTCAGTTAAACGTCCAACTTCTGGTTTTGTCTCAGGTCATGATCTAATATTTCAAGAGATTGAGCCTCTGTGCTGACAGCACTAAGCCTGCTTGGTATTCTCTCTCCTCTCTCTTTCTACCCCTTGCCTGCTCACACACTCACTCACTCACTCTCTCCTTCTCTGTCTCTCTCACTGAAAATAAACTTAAAAAAATAATTTAAAAAATAAATCCAGTTTTTACTTTGTGAACCTTCAGAATATAAACATAATTGTTTCCATTCCCACATAAATTAAGTTCTATTTCTTTCTTGCCATCTTTTAAACAAAGACAGTCTAAAATATAAGTGCATATGCATCGGCAAAGCCTGTAGAGAGCATAGTAGTTGATTTTTAGTCATGGTTGTCTCTATTATGTTTTTATGGAAAATATTTTAATGAATGATATCTGATATATGCATGTGTTCGGTGTAACTTCTTACCTTGAATCCAGAGCTAAATTAAAGTTCTAGCTCCTCCTGGATTGTATTTGAGTTGAGGTTAGGATTATATTCCTTTTGCTTTCCCTCTGATCTTGCATTACGTCTTCCCATGAGACCTCTAAAATTATCTCTCCAAGGGACAATGAGGCGCTATGGGGAAAGTATCCTTATCTTTTATGATACTAACTACTCAATCATTAGTTTTTGAACTGTGGGTTACAGCCTGTTAATTGGTCCTGAAATTAATTTGGTGGGTCATGTCTAGCATTTATATTAAAAAAATTATATAAGAAGAAAATCAGAGTGCCTCAGAAGTAATAGAACTATTCACCGTGTGTGTGTTTGCATGTGTGCGCTGGGGTGTACAAAAACCGTTGATTGATTTAGGTGTTGTGATCAGAAAACTCCAGGCTAATCACAAAATTATAGTGAATATCTTACTCTGGCTGCAACAAGCATATTTATAAAAACATATCAGAATTTTCTTACAATACTTTGTTCAAAGCAGGCACGAACACACCATAGATAAAAATAGGGAGACCCAGTCACCGTGTCCCCACGCTCAATTTCTGCGTGATTGTGTGAAATACCTGTCAGAATGAAGACACCGTCACTGTGGAGACTACATAGTGTACTGAGCTGTGCTGTCTCTGTGGGGCAGATGAGAGAGTGGGTGTTATGCCAGCCACTGAATCCCTCATCTCAAGAATCCTCCAGGCACCCTCTTGGTGCAGACTTCTCACACCACCTGTAAGGGCAAGACAGCATTTCCAAGTGTTTTTATCTCCTGAGCTGAATCCATCTTGTTCCATGAATAACAAGGTATATGGGAAAATTACATATTTTTTTTCAAACGTAGCCCACTCTTGTAAAACTTTGTCGTTATTCACTTGCTCTGTGTCTCCTAACAATTGTCTCTCAATATCATGTGTTCATTTCTAAGAAGCCTTTTGAACTAATTAGAAAACAGGGAGTGGAATCCATCTCCCTTTTGTCTTAAAACACAGAAATCACCGGGCACCTGGGTGGCTCAATCTGTTAAGAGTCCAACTTCGGCTCAGGTCCTGATCTCGCAGTTCGTGAGTTCGAGCCCCGCATTGGGCTCTGTGCTGACAGCTCAGAGCCTGGAGCCTGCTTCAGATTCTGTGTCTCTCTTTCTCTCTGATCCTCCCCTGCTTGCTCTCTATTTTTCTCAAAAATAAACAAAAAGAAAAAAAAAAGACAGAAATCACTGTGTTCATTACATACAATTTCTTGCTTAAGAAAAAAATATATATGTATATAATATTAATGTCCACCTTTCCTTTGTCATTAATACTCTTGCTCATTTTTTTTTATTTTTTTTTCTAAGGATTTTCTGGGATCTGTGTGCTCCTGAATGAGTTTTCTATACACTTGCACAAATATGAACTGTAAAAGTGAACGCTTCACCCTTTTGCCTTTTTGCTGCCTCCTTAAGAAATACCTGCTATCGGGGCGCCTGGGTGGCGCAGTCGGTTAAGCGTCCGACTTCAGCCAGGTCACGATCTCGCGGTCCGTGAGTTCGAGCCCCGCGTCAGGCTCTGGGCTGATGGCTCAGAGCCTGGAGCCTGTTTCCGATTCTGTGTCTCCCTCTCTCTCTGCCCCTCCCCCGTTCATGCTCTGTCTCTCTCTGTCCCCAAAATAAATAAACGTTGAAAAAAAAAAATTTAAGAAATACCTGCTATCCTCCCCCTTTGGAAGGCCAAAATAGCAACGCTTTTGAGTGTTTCTCCCCTAGGAGCTTTCTCTATTTCTTTCTGTGGAAGTCTAGAGAGACAAATGTCCTCGTAATAACTTGGCTGCCTGTGCATTCGGCGTCAGTGGCTTCTATGCCCTTCTCTCGCACAAAGACAGATCCCATTATGCTGCCTGTATTGAGAAGCGCCCCTTCTGCTGGGATTTGGAATGCTCCTGAGCACAACACGGAGGCCAGCAGCCCTGCATCCTCAGTTACATGCACGTTTCACGTTCATCACAGGCCGTATTTTCACCTGGGGGTGGACCTTAGGTTTTCTGTGAAAGAACTAAAATGCATCATCCTACCTGTCCTCTACCTCTACTAGACTCTGCCTTTCTGTCCCTCCCTCTGTACCCCATCTTCTGTCTCTTGGCCTTCTTTGTGTGCCTGCTGCCCCCCAAATCCCTGAGACTCTATGTCGGCAGCGAGCATGGCACCATACAGAGATCTTTCTGGAGATAAAATATTGGTGGAATTTTGAGTAATTTGGTGGTACATGGTGGAAATTATAATAAGAAACTGCCTTCTGTCTTTCATTTTTTTTCTTTAATGGGTTCCACAATTTTTTTCTATGATTCTCAATTAAGTCCATGCTAATGCCTACCTTTTCTTCCTATGCTTAAAACCAGCATTCCTGTATATTTGTGAACTAATTGATTTATTTTCCTCTTACATTTGGAGTGAGGGGGGACAAAACAAAACTTGTAGATTTAGATGAGTAACTAGCTGGAATTAAAAATTAAAAAAAAAATTTTTTAATGTTTATTTATTTTTGAGACAGAGAGAGACAGAGCATGAACGGGGGAGGGTCAGAGAGAGGGAGACACAGAATCCGAAATGGGCTCCAGGCTCTGAGCTGTCAGCACAGAGCCCGACGCGGGGCTCGAACTCATGGACCGTGAGATCATGACCTGAGCTGAAGTCGGACGCTCAACTGACTGAGCCATCCAGGCGCCCCTGGAATTAAAAATTTGTAAAAAGTAAACAGCCAGTTTGACTTGGTTCTTGTGATGAATCATGACACACATTTATGTAATGCTTATTATAAACCAGATACTTTACTAATATTATTTTATTTAACAGAGCAACCATAAGAGATATGCCAAATTATTACGCCCATATTATGGATGAGTAAACCAAGACCATAGAGTTTATCAGTAGATTGATACAGCCGAGAGTGATGAAGTCGTTTTCTTTTTTAAGTTTATTTATTTATTTTTGAGAGAGACAGAGATAGCATGAGCAGGGGAGGGGTAGAGAGACAGAGACAGAGAGAGAGAGAGAGAGAGAGAGAGAATCGCAAACAGGGGATCGAACTCATAAACTGTGAGATCATGACCTGAACTGAAACCGAGTTGGATGCTTAACCGACTGAGCCACCCAGGTGCCCCTAAAGTCGAGTTTTGACGTAGATGATCTGTCAGACTGTTGTGTTCAATAAAAGCAATCAAGTCAGTTAAAGGTGGGGCCATACAACTTTTTTTTTTTTTTAGTGTGCAGCTGCATACCAGCTTTGAAAATGAGCACTAACGAACGTGAATCTGACTTTATTCAAAAGAGTAATGTAGAATGTCAACTTTGTCTCTTTCTTTCTTTATTGACTGAACTATTGGAGAGGGATATAGAATGCCAATTACTCTTTCTTTCCTTCTTTTTTTAAATCTTCCTTTTCTTCTTTTCTTAACTGTTAAAGGCTGACAAACACTCTTTTTGGCTCTACACTTTGGTGTCCATTCCTAAATTCAAATGGAATCATTTTAATTACGGTCTGCCTTATTTCTACAGATTACTGTTCACTCCCCTGGGAAGTATAAGGCACACCAGGAATAGAAACAAAAATCAGAAACATCTTTCCTCAAGGAGTGTACCCTTAGGAAGGTGAAAGAGGGAAAGGGTGATTTTTAGAACATGTTGCACCCTGTAAAGACCTGTGTGTTCTCTTGTCTCTGCAACAGGTACCATTTCTGTCAACACGCTGCGCACACCCTATACTGCTCCTGGCGAGAGCGAGATTCTGGACCTGGATGATGAGTTGTACCTGGGGGGCTTGCCAGAAAATAAGGCTGGCCTCGTCTTCCCCACCGAGGTGTGGACTGCTCTGCTCAATTATGGCTACGTGGGCTGCATTAGAGATTTGTTCATTGATGGCCAGAGCAAAGATATCCGGCAAATGGCTGAAATTCAAAGTACTGCTGGAGTGAAGCCCTCCTGCTCAAGGGAAACAGCAAAACCGTGCCTTAGCAACCCCTGCAAAAACAATGGCATGTGCAGGGATGGGTGGAACAGATATGTCTGTGATTGTTCCGGAACAGGCTATCTTGGCAGGTCCTGCGAGAGAGGTAGGATTCTGAAAACCAAGAAGCTGACTCCCCTGAGACGAAAAGTGTATTAAATGTTGACCTCAAACCTTAAACTGACCATGGAAACGTAATGCATGCTCTGCAGAGGTAAACTGCAAGCCTAGCAGCCACCTCTGACGTATTACTGATGAGTCCTAAATGATTTTCAGAGGGCCTGATTCTGGGAAGACACAGCTTTTCAGTATGTTGCAGGAGTAAATATTTGGGTCTTTCGTATCCTCCAGAGTATGGGCCTAAGATGTAGAATCGACAACAACTGCTTTCCCTTTTGCCTAGTTTTTAAGTTCAGGAAACCAGAAAGTAAAGAAGGCATGAATTAGAGATACTTATGGCATTTAGTGCTAATATCTGTGCCAAAAACAAAAATAGCATTTGAAGCAAACTAAGTTGTAAGTTGCAGCTTCTATTAGCCCAGCTCATTTCACTTCAGTCAATTTACTGAGTTTGAAATTTAGAAAGTAAGGTGACTTTCAATCGTCTAATTTACACCAGCATTTTCAGATAACTTCAAAGACACTTACCTTTGCCTAGGACCGAAGTGATCACAGAAGATTTATTTACCCGTGTGATATTAACGCTTTGTGTGTCCGTTGAACTTCTGAGCAGCTGCCTCCCTTTCTTCGCTAGTAGGAAGCAAAGCCACACTTTTTTTTTTTCTCTCCCTCTCCTATAAGAAGGAGAAGAATAGGGATTAAAAGAAGAATGAAGCGTGGGAGCTACCACTGTTCTTCTGCAGAGCAAGGGGGGAAGAGCAGAAAAAAGAACGCCCTTCCGTCGACTTAAGAGTTTCAGATAAATGCTTTATCATTATACCCACTGGCAATCATTTTCAATATGGGACAGAAAAATCAATATGGAAAACTCTTGACGAGTCGTTCCATTGTCCTTTCATGCTCCAAATAACATTGCTTGTATTAGACATTTAGTCTGAAATACCTGGCCTCTGTTACTTAAACCATGCACATTTAGTCTTCCTTTTCCCCTTTAGTCCTGAAATACTTTAATTTGTTGAAGCTCATGCTTCCTAGGGAGAAAAAAATAGTGATTTCCACAGTCCAAATTTGAACAATGTGACTTCCGTTGTTTATCTTCATAAAGAGGTTCATCAGCTTATCAGTTCTATTATTAACATTAATCAATATAAACTTAAAATAATTTAATGACCTAATAATCTTAAATTACCTACCAAATACTATCACTGTTCTGCACTATACAGTTAGATAGGTCAGTAGATAGGTAAGTATTTTAATCACATAGATTCATTCTTTCTCCTAGTACCTAAGTGCAGTTCCTGTAAATTGTCATTAGAGGTTAGCTGTTTCTCTGTAGTTTCACTTGTAAGGTGTATATTATCTGTGGGTTCCCTCTTCTCATTTCCCTGTCTAATTTCAGTTTATTTGTTTCTATAGCTTGGTCTTAAAAGCTGCCGAAAGGGGCCAATAACAACCACCAAAAAAGGCGACAAAGCTCGTAAGATCTATTACAAGTTAGACATAATGCGAGATTAGCAGAGCTGTATGATTTAAGCTTTGTTTTCCTTTTAATCACTCAGAGAGCTGCCAGTGACTCTGAGGCCTCCTGCTTAAGTGAAGGTGGAGAAGAGTAGAACTGAACTGTCGGTTCAGTTACAAAAGCCTTTGGTTAAATGTGCACGGTGTACCACCCTGTGGCAATACCCCGCTACTACATATGGCAGAAATAAAAATAGAAATTGTCAAGCTTCCTGAGCCAGAATGAGGGAAAGGGGATATTTATATTTTGCAATAATTAGAAGGAGGGGTGGCAAGCATATGTAGATTTGCAAATGAGAATTTAATAGCAAGCTTCATCACTGGGATGCGGCATACAGTTTTATCTGACAGGTGGCTAGAAATTTCTGCTCATTTCTTTGTCTCCACGTTGGTTGTCTATTGAAGAGAAAATGGTCATTTTTGTATGATGTTTGTTTCTGGACTACCCGGCATATTGTTAGAAGTCTTTGTTTTTCAAAATTAATTTTCTTGCTAGCATTATGGTATCTCCTGAGCACACTGGTGATGTGGAAAGCTTGTCATGCTTAATACCACAGAATCTGGCTGCTGTCCAGTTCCCAGTTATGCCCTACTTCAGTCAACACATGATCATGTCCAACCCCTGGGGTTTCCAATTCAAAAGAAAGAACTTTGACTGTGATTCTTCTCCAGATAGACTCTGATCACATATGGCTGTTAATCACATAAGAGTTGATTGACAACATTTGAAATTTAAAATAATAATAATAATAAAGGTACTAATGAAGTCTGTCTTACTCTTAGTGAGCAATAATTGATAATTTATAAAGATTATTGTTCAAAGTAATTAAAAAGTGTGTTCAAGTCCTTGGACCATGCAGCACAGGGAATGATACTGCAATCACATTACAATAGGAAATTTTCATTCTGCATTAAGTAAGCAAAGGAATTTATAAGAAAGAAAGAGTATTTGCTGACTTAGACAACGAGGAAATAGTATTTTAAGTGTATTGATCCCATAAGGGATAGTAATATAAAAATAACGTTCAATTGGACACAAATTAAATTCAGCATTTTCCCTCCCACTTTATTTTGAATAAAGCTGAGAATTTGTGGAGACTTGGCCGAACAGAAATTATTCTTGGTTATGTGTACATGTTATAATCAGAGGTCTGCTTTATACTTGTTTGTTAAAACTCTAACAGATGGAGGGACAGATGTCAGAGCAATATAATTTGGCTCCCTGTCTGATTTTCATCGTTGCGCACAATATGTGACTGCCTTTCGGCAAAACTGAGCCCAGGTGTACACTTTAGACAGCGAGAAGGAATAATACAGAAAAGCAAATTTATCAAACTTAACGACAAGGGGGAAGGAGATGCAGGAGACAAAGCTGAAACTTTTTTCTTCCCCTGTGGGAAGTATTGTATTGGAATTAGCCTTTTAAAGTCCTCGTTTGTGTTCTAAGTGGTAAAATGATTTTACTAATGTGAAAGGATGCTGCCAAATAGCATAACCTTCAAATGTCAGAATGCTGTTTACCATTTATTTGGCAACTCTAGACTCCAACCTTGTGCATTTTCCACTTCTTGTCTAATTAAACATTAACTCTAATTATGAGGACTCATTTACGTGTTCATCTGTCATTTATCAACAAGTTATTTTCACATTGAGAATTATTTAACCTGTACTCAAGTTTTATTACTTTGCTATGTTATTTTGTCCCTGCAGTTTTTTTGGAGAATGTTATGGGCTAATGATCCTGATTATTGTTCTACTTCAGATTGTATTTCATATTATATTCATGATCCACTGTCAGCCATCTATATTTCTAAATAGTTTTTAATCAAATGAAGCTACATTTTATAGATTATAAATCATTTTTAAATGTGATTATTGAATAATAGAGACTGCTTTACACAGTAAATGAATAGAGGAGAAAAACTAACAACATTTTCATTCTTTTATCAATATGATACCAAAGTAAATGAGCAATTCATAATGGTTTTTAAATGTCTATTCAGGTGTTTGTACTCTATAGATATGGACGATGTTTAGCTATAGTTTAGGAAAGTAAGTAGTAAAGATCACATTTCTTTTATGATTATTCAAGAAATACTTTTTTTCCAGAGTTCACCACAACTTTATAATGATGCTTTAATTATTTTTTTTTAGTAAACTACTAGTAGCTTTTTTTTAGGAAGCTTCTTATCTAATAATAAAAATATGTGTTACAATATAGAAACTCTATATTTTAAAATATTTTAAAAATCCTAGTAAGATCATATTTTATTTTCTGAAAATCAGGTCAGTGCCTAGCCACAGAACTTGTATTTTGATAAATGGACCTGATTCCTAGTCTGTCTTCTGTAGCACAACTATGTCCTTCAAAGTATAATTCAGCCAATATTTTGTTCACATACATTATCAAAATTAGATTCCACTTACAAGAGGCAGAGTAAATACTCAATTTCTTTAGTATTCTTAAGTTCGGGAGAGCATTTATGTAAGCTTGATATCCAAATTGAAATAAGCACTTTCATACATCTTGAGTATCAATAAGTACTTCAATTAAGTACTTAGTGAGGCTCCCCTGTGTGCCTGGCCCTTTTCCGGGCACTCAGTTGCTGCTAGAACAATGTATAGGACAGCCTAACCTCTGCCTTCATGACACTTAGTTTCTAGAGGGTGAGCAATATACAAAATACAAACAAATAAGAAATGTTAATTTTTGAAAAAAATTGGTAAGTAGATACAGAATAACTGGAGGGGGGATCACTGAGGTGTAGAATGGACCTCTTGAAGTCACATTTGTCTCGAGACCTGAATGTTAAAGGAACCAACCATATAGAGATTTGGGCTTATGCCTTCTAAGACAGAGGGATCCACAAGTGCAGGTCCTTGAATGAGAGATGAAATCCGTGTGACTGGAGTTTACTAAACGAGTAGCACAGATGCTAAAAGTTGATGCTGTTGAGAAGGGCTGGGGCCAGATCACAGAGAACATTCTAGGTAGAAAAGGAGTATAGCTTTTGTTCCAACTGCAGTAGGAAACAATGGTAGGAGTTGGGGGACACAGTTTAAGCAATGTAGGGATATAATCTAATTTGCTTCTTTAAAAATTAGCTTGGCTGCTGTGTATAGGAAGAAAAAGTAGAAATAAAGAAACAAATGAGAGTTGGTCTAGGTGGAAGATGAGAGCAGAGCCAGAGGTACTTAAATGGTAAGGTAAGCGAGCAATTCAGGAAATGGTTTGGATTTAGAGCCTACAAGACTTGCAGACTCTCACATAGATTGGGCATGGCAGAGAGATTAAGAGAGAAATCAGAACAGCTAAATTCTGAGCAATGAGATTATGCCATTTACTGACACAGAGAACATTGGTGAAGCATCTTGGGGAATTGGTTCATTTGGGGGGTGCCTATAGTATTCAGACTGGAAATATTAAGTGAACAATGGATGAAGGGGCTCAGAAGTCAGGGCTGGTAATAAATCTTAGGGGGAATTGGCCAAGATCTCTGAAGTGAAGGGGTAGGTAGAAGAGAATAGCACCAAGGAGGGAGACCTGGAACCTTCCATACTTTATCAGTTCTGGATGTGCATTCAGTCTCGTGATGACAACTAATGACTAAAGTCCACCCGAAGCAATATTTGACTCTCCTGACTTTTTGAAAGGCAAACTTGCAAAACTACAACTCCAAAATATACTCTTGATTAACAAACACAACTGTATCAGTAAAGCTAATTGTTGTGCCCTGTAAATAGGCAAAATAATGAGAATTTCCTAGTTCATTTTAATTCGAGGTAGCTTTTCTTTTATTAAACGGTATTCTGTGGTATCAAAACCAATGAGAAGCAGAATTACTCATTCTTGTTTTGCAATCTTCCACCACCATATGGTGTTTAACATTAAAGGATACTGACCAGTTCTTAAAGCAATTTGTGATCAACAGTTTCTGCTGTGCTCTTCTTTATGTGTTTAATACAGTAGTAAGCACCTTCTGTCTTAAAGCAATCCACTTTAGTTTGGTAGCACACACCCATGCAAGCTCTGCAGACCCACCCCATGCTTACTCAATATCACCAAAGTACATAGTTATTGACTTTTGGTGATAGCTTAACATTTTCAGAACACCAGGGTAGTGCTTACAAATGATGTTGTCAGTTACCCCTCACTTGTAAAGAAACCTTAAAATGAATTTTCAGTTTGTGTGTTTGTAAAACTTAATTGCCTTGTTAAACATAGCAACTCAGAAGAAGCATCGCCTGTTGTTTGGACATGCTATTTTTTCCTCTTTTTTTGAATATCGCTTTTGGTAAAAGGTTGACCTTATTCCTATACTTAAGCCATTTCTTTTTCTTTCTTCTTTTTCTTCTTCTTCTTCTTCTTCTTCTCCTTCTTCTTCTTCTTCTTCTTTTTTATCACATTCAGGCAGAGATTATGAAAGAAGGTAATAGTAACTCCTTTTAGAATCTTGGACTTTTTGGGTAGGCGAGGGCCTTAGAGACCCTCTCATTTTGCTGATGAAAGATTTGGAGCTAAGGCAAATTTCATAGAACAAGTCAGTGGCCTAGCTGTATACAAACATTTATTAAATAATTGCTAGTGCTTCAAACCAGTCTTACGCTGTGGCTATGCACAAAAGAATGTGATCTCTACCCTTGAGAAGGGAAACACATACATACACTTTGACAATCCCAAATGACTCCTGCTACAGATAGAAAGTGCTATGGAAACAAAAAGGGAAATGCAGCCATCCCTGTGTCTGTACACTAGCAGATTCTTCACAGAAGTTGTCTTTACTGTGACTTTTCTTTGGGGCTTAAAAAAAAAAAGCTCATTTCTGAGGATGAGTTGAGTTTGTAGTGTTGTGTTCTATCTGGAAGCCATTGTGGGTCACACTTTTCCTTCTCAAAGTGTAAATGCACGAAACTGACCAAGAACTTTTATATTCATTTCTCTTCCATAGAGGCAACGGTTCTGAGCTACGATGGGAGTATGTTTATGAAAATCCAGCTCCCGGTGGTGATGCACACAGAGGCTGAAGATGTGTCCTTACGGTTCCGATCACAGCGTGCATACGGCATTCTCATGGCAACCACTTCTAGAGATTCAGCAGACACCCTCCGCCTGGAGCTGGATGCAGGGCGTGTGAAACTGACGGTCAATCTAGGTAACAACTTGCCTTCCCCCATAAAACTAATACTGTTCACTTTTTGTTCAGTTTTGCCTGCAAACATTTATCAAGTAGCCTGTTTTGCCATGGAAAGTTATAACACTTAATGGTCTCATGTTCATCATTTAAGTTAATTTAGGTTTTGGGGGCATCTTTTTATTATTTTCATTTTGTTTAACATAATTTACCATTTTGTGATTTCTACCACTGAGGGTTCTTAAAAGGGAAGCCATATGTCTCAAAGAGGTTAATTGAAAATATAAATTATTAGGCTTGAAGAAGCCTCAATTTAGATTGTTATGTTTACTTACAGTCCGATTTGCTATAGACCCCATCCCCTTTCAGATAAATAAAAATCCGCCTACTTTTACTTAGATAACATATTTACAAAATATCAAATTTCTACTTTGTGATCAACAAGTTGCTTTGACTCTACCCTCTGGGCTTCTCCTTTGAATAGTGACCTTTGTGGTAACCCATCTTTTCTGTTTGGAAATACTGTGTGGTGATATTTTGCTATCAAACAGCAATCCACAACCCTTCAATGCCCAAAGTCTGCGGCCCGTAGCAAACAGCCATGAGAACACTAAAAACACAGACTCTTCTACAGAGAAATAATGCTTTCCTGCTTAATTGTAGCATTAGGGAAGAGTTACTACAGTAAAACCTCAATAAGCTGTATGAAATACGGGGGAAGGCTAGGCTGAATTAAGAAAGAGTCTGAATTGTAGACTTAAAAAATTTACACAGTTTTGTTTTCAATTACATTGAAAAACACAAATTAATAGCTAGAAAGGCTTAGTAAGGAAAGGTTTTACTAGGCTGATTTTAACGGGTGGATAAGAGTTATCCATAATTAGGATGTTGTTTCATGCAAGTTGTGCAGTCAGCATACAGTGAAGCACTGGAGATCAGTTTTCTTCCTGAACTTGGTCGTTTAAAACTTGTTTGTTTAATTTTTCTCAGGCAATCTCTGTTCTTACCAAAGAATTATAAATATTCTGCCCAATAAGTTGCATTATTATCATTAACTCCAGAAGGAGTACAAATTAATGAGGTTTTACTGTAATTCCCGGAAGTGCTAAACATGCACAATAACACATAAATGGAGAAAGAAAAATAAAATTTGAAACCTAGATTTACAGAGAGTAGTAAAATGTGATGAGCGTAAGGCATTTGTGGAAACCCTACCTACATTTTCAAATTGTGCTGGGCAGAATGGTAGCTCATAAAATATAAAATTATTTCAGTGATAGCTTATTACATACAATTACATTCAATTAATATTAGTTAAATTAAGTTAAATTAAAAGGGTGTTTTTTAAAGACCACTGAAGAACACACTGCACTCTCATTTACTGTTCTGTTAGAGTTCCCTCTAGTGGCAATGATAGGTTATTACAACAAATCAAAAGAAATCGCCTAATAGCAGTAAAGGGGCTGCTAGCCAAAGTGGAAACACTTATGGGTATTTTCCAACAGCAAAGCATTCTGTGGAAAGAGTTGTGTAGGTGCTGGTCCTTGGCTGTTTGCAACCACTTTTCTGATGCGGTTGACGACACATGACAAACTCAGCTATATGGAAACAGAATCTAGGTTTTTTTATTTTTCATGTTTCCCCAAAGGCATTAAATACTACAACAAAACCCAGCAAATATTTATCTATACATAAAATAAACATGAGACATCCCACGCAGTCCTTTAAAGATAACCCTTATAATTACAGTCTGTGTTATTCACATCAGCTGTTCTGCTCTTAGAGAATCTGCTTTTGTATAAGAAGAAAGTATAAGAAAAGGAAAATCAATAGTAGTGTTAACCATGACACTTATTACATAAAGATAACATTGTTAGCTATTAAGAGAAGCATAGGCTTGTGTGCTCTAAAGAATGACACTACTCCTTAGCCCCTGGAGGTTTCTAAAGGAAAACACAGTTGTTTCTTTCTCCTTCGATTAATAAAAGGCATGGAATCCAACCAACATCTGGCTGTTTACCTTTTTTTGCCTAAGCAAATAACAACAACAACAACAACAACAACAACAACACATTAGAGTGAAGTGAGAATAATTCAACTTGCTCTCCATTTTGACCACCACAATTCTCAAGAGTTCTGTTGGCCTTTGTGGGATATTACTCTTTGAAGGTCCAAGATGTCTGAGCCTAGCTGAGCTTGCACTGCACCCCATTGTGACGGAGCACTTTTTAATTATGCTGAAAACAAGAATATGTTCTTTCACAGATGGGGAGAAAGTTGCAGCCAGTCTAAGCCAAGCATCTTTGACAGTTAACAACTCTTTATTTCACTTAGATTTGTCACCATGTAGCTTTGTTTGAATTGGCCATTTAAAAAAAAAAAAAAAAAAAAAAAAGACCTTCTATCATTGTTTCCAATGTGAAGTTTTATAACAATGAATCTGGGTTCTAGAAGTATGTAAAGAATAAATGATATAGAGTGGCCATATTTGCATGTGTCTGTCCCCGGAAGGGTGGACTGTGATTTTATTGGATGTCTGCAGCTATTACCTTGAAGGATAAATTTTCATTTTTCATCTATTCTTCCCCATCTAGATTGTATCAGGATTAACTGTAATTCCAGTAAGTGCCTATTCAAAATTTTTAAAATGTTATTCCTCCATTATGATGTAAGCTAGTCCAGAAAAAAAATGAGAGCAAGAGAAAGACGCTTATAAAACTCATGAATCCACTTTTGAAGTATACCAGTCCATCATCTGGGTTGTAAAAATTCATTTTGAAATCTGTCCAGCTGAAGACTTTCCTGTTGTAGTTCCTACCTGTAAGTGGGAAAAGAAGTGACAATATCTTGTAACAGAAGGTGAACAAACCTCTATAGGCCTTTGAATAAGGCAAGTAACATTTGTATTTTGCCTGATCTTGGACTCCAGTAGCTCTCTTCATGACCGAATTAGGAAAATAAAAAATACTGTGGGTCATATTTCCTTCACTTTCTGTTTTTACCTCTTAACTCAAAATACAGAAAAAAAACATTGAATTCCTTTTGAGAGTTACTATTAAACCCTTTTAAATTCAATCAAAGGTTTACTTAGAAAAATGTATTTTTCAAAGTTATATATATATATATATATATGTATATATATATATATGTAAAGAAAATTACTTGCCTAAGAGTTTTCTTGTTTATTAAGAGTATTTACATGATGAATTTTTACATCCTCATCACATATCTGCAAAAATAATCAAAATCCTTCAAATCTGTGATATGCATGCCAAATGATGAGTCAGAAAAGATGCATGGACTGAGTTTTATTTGACTATGGACCGGATAACCTGAAAGGATATAAGGACTGTGATTTTATTTTGAGTTGTAGCATTGCCTTAAGAGTAAATTTATTTTATTTCTTTACATAAATGTTCAGATTTTTTCCTTTCCAGGTTTTGCTACCACATTAAGGAATCTCCTCCAATGATACCCAAGTTGTTAGCTATTTCAACAAAACAGTTCTAACAAGATTCTAATCTCTCATTGTTGTAGTCCCTAAAAACATTTTCTATATCCTTGGAAAATGCTGAATGTGAGTTAATGAAGTCTACTCCCAAAACCATTGACTGTGTTTGCAAATAGCAATGTCATCCTCTGAGGAACAAAATGGTGGTCTTAAACTTACAAAACGAGCTTTATCTAATGAGAGATACATACTACTTTGAACACCATGTTTCCTACATCTCAGATTTGTCTTCAAATATTTTAATATTCATCTTAAAGTAACATAAATGTGAATCTTTCCTATCATAGCAATAAAAAGGTAACTGAATCATGACTTATGAGAAATTACATTGATAAACTATCACACAAGCCATGAACTATCATCTCAAACAGAACAGTTCCTGAAACAATCTCTCAAAGCTCTCATACCAGTGGGATTTTTTAAGTGTGCATCATCTCGTCTCAAACCCCATCCCCCACTTCCTGGGAAGGAACACAGATTTTGCGAGTATAACCCCATGGTCCAGTCTGCTTTCAGTTCTTGGGCACTGATGCAGACAAAGCAGCAATCACAAAATATTTTTCCAAAGTCAGATTGTGCCTCAGTGGAGTTACAGATGTTCTTGATACTTGCTGAGTCTTAGAAAATAATGTGAGGAAAATATTCCTTTCTAGACTCCTGTTTTATGTACTCTTGTTTATTTATATCAAGCATACAATAAAGCATGAATTTTTAAATTTATAAAATGGAACTCTGTGAACTCTAGTATTTGGATTTCTAGTATGGGAATTAACCAAATCAAATGTAATTCCTTGTTTTCTAGCTCTGCAAATTGTTTTTGTTTTTGTTTTTGAAAAATATAGTTGTAGTGTAATCACCCTTGTTAGACACTTCTCTTCATTTGGCTTGTATTATGAGATTCTAATATTAAGCTTAGTCTTTTTTTTTTCCTCTGGATATTCCACAGAATAATACCTTTGAGGACAAAGGTTTTTGCTGGTTAGTGAGATTTTTCCCTTTTTAAGGAGTATGCCTTACATATACATTATTTGAAATAAATGAATGATTGTGAGCTTTCACTGCACACCTCGGACAGGACTGCAAATGCCTTAACTTGACAGCAGTCACTGGAAAGAACATTCCATGAGCAGGTAACATTTTAATTTTCTTTTGCCTTTGTTTTACTTGGGGAATAGTGGGCAGATGTGGCAAGAACCCCAAGTTCCATCAAGAATTCATGTTATTACTCAACTTTAGGAGAGGGAGGAATTTGCATATCAAATAATGCAAATCTAACACACAGTGATTAAATAAGCAGAGATTTCCACCTGCAGTGCATTTCTTACCCAGTAAAAATATAAATTAAAATATCTGTATCTCAGTATAACTTGTAGTTTGAGTGATTGATTTATTACACTTATCCCCTGTGAGCTCTAAGTTTGTCCGAAACCGAGATGAATGTACATTTATTAAATCACAGCCATCTGCCACCACCGTCTCTAAAAATTATATCATACTTAGAATATTAACTATATATGAAATTAATATGACATACCTCACATTATATCTTTTAAGAAAATTTCTGCAGCAAATATGCAAACTATAACACAAAAGATTGTCTTACGTTGAGAATTAATATTAAACTCCAAATTATTAAGGTTGGATGGAAACCTTTTCAAACTTCTCTACACTTCCTCAGAATTGCTCTGCTGTTTCTTTTGGTCACTCCGTCCTTCTTCATCCCTGCCCCCCAGTTTAGAGCAGATGTTGCTTGATAAGGGAAAGAAGAGCTAGCTGTTTGTATTCAGACCTGTGGGACTATAAGAGATGGCAAATGAGTTTCTTTCTCAACCATTTCTGTATCAGTAGTTTAGATGCAGCAATAGAAACTTCAGTGGACAGGCCAGGGTACCGCCTTTTGTTCAGGTCCCTTGGGGAAAGGGCAGCTTTGAATTCCAGAGTCCATCTCTGTCCGATTCTTTGTTTCTACAATTTTCACCCTCATAGGAAAAGCTGTCAAGAATTTTTAAATGGAAAGAGAGCCCGTTTTCATTTAAAAATCAAAAGCTTATTTTCATGTGTGGAGAGGGTACTTTTTTTTAAAAAAAAGAACTGTCTCTATGAATAGTGGTCATATCAGTGTCAAAATATATGCTTTGGTCTTTCAGATTACAAATGAAATGTCACTGCACACAATCCCAAACCAATCCCAGATCTCTGACAGCCATTAGCTTATATCATTGCTAAAATATATTTGTCATGTGCAATTGGAATTAAATTAAGGTCAGTCTGTGTAGATTCATGGCCTGGAAGGTGAGCACAGAAGTGTATTATCTATCACTCTCCATTCTCCTGTATCCAGGATAGAAATAAAGGAAGAGTCAGAATACTCTTGCCTTTCAGTCAACTGCAGTATTGAGAGCAACAGTCTGCCACCATAAAATAATCGTGTATGGAAGTTGCTTAAGGAACCACCATCTTTTAATGCATATCATTTCTTCTCTGGACAGTACTTCAAAAATGTAGATGAGACTTTAAAGTCACATTCTTCTAAAACATGAAGGGGAAAGAAAAGTATTTGGATTAATTTTAAAAAAGATATGTTCTAGATTATTTTACAAAAAATAATTATTGTAGAAAAATACACTAGTACAAACTAATCATTAAGAAAGTTTTACCAAGAAAATCCAAATCAGACTGAGTAGTCCTTTCTGACTGACACATGAATTATTTGCTTGAAAAGGTGTGTTTGACAGTCTCTTCTTTAGTTTCATATTAACGGATTTAATACGTCTTTTAAAAACTATGAGGATTATAAAGGAAATTTTCTAATCCTTAGGAAATTATCTAAAATGCATTATTAGTAGGATCCATACAGTCCATCATTCTTATTATGTATTTTTTCTTGTTTGCCAAAGTACATAGCCTAAAATCTTGGTTAACTCAGGGATAGAGTTACCAAGACAATCTCAGTCTTAAAGTTGGTGTCCAATAGTTCCCTATAATACTTCCAAACTCATTAGGCTATGTGTTTCTCTATATTTTTTTCTGAAAATTGGGCCTTTGTAGTGATATACTGCATCTTTAAATTGTCTCAAATTTTATACTTTCTCTCTTATCTTAGTGACCTTAAAAATAATTAGTGCTGTAATCTTTAAACTATTTCATTGAAAATTTGAAAACAACACTTGTTCCTATCAACTCTAGGTGAATCCTAATTGTCACGTAAATAAATAAATATATAGTGGATGCAGGGAGACTCTTGTGCTTTTGTTTTTGTTAGTTTTCTTTCTTTTATTTATTTTTTGTTTACTTGTTTTTATCTTTTCAAATCAATGATGTAATGACAGAATGTCCTTCTTGCCCACAGGAAGGCATGGGACCACCTCTGCATCCGTATAAAACATTGGTTTTAATATAAACTCGTGATCTCTGATGTCTGTTTTGCGTGTATGCATTATTTTGGTTTCTTTGTGCCTTGTTTATGTGTCTCTTCTCCTGCCCACTTGATGTCTCTTCCTACCAAGATTTACTCTTCTTCTCCACTACCAACATTGTTTCTCCTGTTCTGTTTCTTCTTGTTTTCTTATAAAAATAAAAATTCTCTGGGTTGAAAAAAAATATTTTAGTAGGCCGGCCTTCCAACTATTTTTGGCTTCTCACAGAAAATGGTTTATCTAATGCAAAGACAACAAAATTACAGATGACATTAATGTGGACAAAGTGTCAGGGGTTAAAGTTCAATTCCTTTTATTTGCAGTTCGGTGTCTAAAGTATTCCAGAGGGAAAGAGAATGTGAGGTCGAGTACTTAACCTCACTTTGCACTCGGATAGAGTGAAGAAACACTCTGAATAGTGTTATTGGAAAATGTACTGTGATGGATGTCTGGAGTGGATAATAAGATCTTTGTATTATCATTTTATTACCAGAATGAAAAGATCAACTGGATATTAGTTATCACCCGTTTTTTTTTTTTTTTTTTTTTTTTTTTTTTTTTTTTTATGTGGTAAAACTGGAAAGCAATAAAAGAATGCAAAATGTCAACCAGTGGCACTTAAGCTATAGTAGATTGCTTTGATCAGGCTGCATTTGGCAAGCTACTTAAAAAGATAAGAGGAAATTTCTGGGGG